ACAAAACACATCAATCAAGCTTTTAAAGCACCAATGGCTTCTTCACCACGCAAATGTATCCATTCAATGAGGTTTCTACCAAAAGGTTCAACTTTTTTTCTTTTTGACCACAATTGGCTAGTTTACCTAGATAGCACCTAACGTAAGCAATACAGAGACATCTTGAGAAACTTAATATCATCTTCCTAAGGAAGCAGCTTCAAAAGACAGAAATCCTGGATCACAAGAGGAGTTATGTTACTTTACTAGTGTTAATAGGGTTTAAATTTTGCTGTCCTTTGTCTCAGACCTCATGTGCTCAAAAAAGGAGTATCCTTTTCCTGCCTTGAGATCCTTACAAAGCAAGTGAACTACAACAATAGATACTCCAGAGACTGACCTATATTCTTTAACCCTAGGTGAAATCTTCAAGTGACTTCGGAGTTAAATATTATGATGGCACTCAGCTATATCTCTTATCTAATTCAGATTTTATATTGGGCTACATATAAGCTAAAATAAACAATCTGAGATTGGGGTTTCAGTGTGTTTCTGTGTGTGTCACCTATAAATTTTATTTATTTATTTATTAACTATATTTCTATACCGCTTATCTCACCCCTGGGGGAACTCAAAGCGGTTTACAACATAATAAATGGCAAATTCAATGCCTCACATATCTAAATCAATAACATATAATTAGATAAAAAAAACGTTAAAACTATAAAAAATCAAACATAGACATAAGCATTAAACATATTATTGCTGCAATTAACAATGTAGACCCCTTCTCTCCCCCCTACCACTCACTAACTCTCTCTCCATAGCGTTTCATCCCTTCTTTTTATACCCTCCCTGCTTCCCCCACATCCCAACAGACACAAAGTTATTTAGGTATAGATTGAATACAAAATGGGGAGGGTAAAAAAAAAAGTCCTGGGCCTTCTTGGGGGATGGTAAATGTGATATGAGGTCCTTGGGGCGGGTAGAGGGAGACTCTTATCTGATGATGGTAGTAGGCTACTGACCAATTTATGGCAACCTCATGAATTTTATAGTATTTTCTTGGGCAACTGCAAACCTGTTTATTTTTCCAGGCAATTTCAGTGGATTAGGCCACACTTAGTAGTGTCACTACCAATTTAATGGATTTTCAGGCCTTTTAAAAACTTGGTTTACTTTAAGTAGGTTTTAACATTTATTCTATGGTTGTAAACTACTCAATTACCATAAGATAAATAGTCTTATAAAAGTATTTCCAAGAAATGGAATTCAGCCCACTTCTTTGTGTATATTTTTGCTGATACTTTATTGTCTTAAGATACAACAAAGCAGATTCTAAATAAAACACCCAACTGCTATCTGCCAATAAATGCAACATCTGGCACCTTGTTTTTCCTGTTTAAATTTTCACATATAATTGTTTTAGTTAATCCGTCTTTCAAAAAGTTCAAGATGGAGCAAACTGTTCTCTTATGAGCTAGTGCACCTTATGCAGAGAGACGGAGATTGTGAAAAGGAGGGCGGAAAGCAAGAAAGTGAACTTCATGGCTGACTGGGCTTTTACACCTGGTTTCCCTACTCCTAGTCTGACTGTCTTAGGGTCCTTCTAGACAGACCCTATATCTCAAGATCTGGTCCCAGGTTTTCTGCTTTAAACTGAATTATAGAAATCCACACTGCTTGATAACCTGGGATAAACAGAAAACTTGCAACCAGATCCTGGGATATAGGGCCTGTCTCTGGGGGTGGTGATAATCTCAATTTCTAAATCAAAGAGCCAGTGTTGTCCGTAGACATTTCCTGGGTCGTGGCTGACATGAGTGCATGGAGCACAGTTACCTTCCTGCAGCACCTATTGATCTACTCACATTTGATTGTTTTTGAACTGCTAGGTTAGCAGAAGCTGGGATCTCACCCTGCTTCTGGATTCGAACCGCCAACATTTTGGTCAGCAAGTTCAGCAACTCAGCAGTGGATTAGTGTGTGTGTGTATATGTATATATATATATATATCACTACCAGTATATTATACTATTAGTCTTATATAGTATATTGTACTATATCATAAGTTGTAGCATATATAATACATTACAACATTATATATATATATATAGAGAGAGAGAGAGACAGACAGACAGACAGACACACACTAGCCGTCCCCTGCCACGCGTTGCTGTGGTCCACTCTGGTGGTCATGGGGGTTCTGTGTGGGAGGTTTGGCACAATTCTATTGTTGGTGGGGTTCAGAATGCTCTTTGATTGTAGGTGAACTACAAATCCCAGCAACTATAACTCCCAAATGTCAAGATTCTATTTTCCCCAAACTACACCAGTATTCACATTTGGGCATATTGAGTATTTGAGTAGAGTTTGGATAGAAATAGTTATTCATTATTATTTATTTACTTCACTTGTATATTGCTTTTCTCACCCCAGTGGGGCGCTAAAAGTGGTTCCCAACACAATTTATCGCAAAATGTAATGCCTCACATAAAGAAATCTAACAATTACACACAATTATCAGTTAAATCATAAAACAAGACCTCATTTAACATTAAAACATATCAATATAAACAATTAAAATCACATATTCCAGCAATCGGAGATAATAATAATGATGATGTTATTATTTTTGTTATTATTTGAGGGCTGTCAAGAATAAAAGGCTGGTAAAACTTTAGGCTGAAGGCTCAAAATGTGAAATACCTCAAGACACTCAGGTGACCCTAAGGCAGTGTTTCTCCACCTGAGGGATAGGGCCCCTGGGAGGGGGGGGAGTCATGAGGGAGGTTTCAGAGGAGTTGCCAAAGACCATTAGAAAACACATATTTCTGATTGTCTTAGGCGCCCCTTTGGCAGAGAAGGCTGAAGATATCTCCACATGTCCTTCTCTTTCTTTTTGGAAACAGAAAATCCTCTCACCAAAAGCCCTCCACAGTGATTGGCTGGGCTCTCGGCCAAGGGGAGGACTGCTTCTCAGACTCCAAGATGGGGTGGGGAGAGCATGTGTGCTCCTTGCATGGCAGCATGGTGAGGGAGAGCATGCAAGGCAGGAGGGGGGCCCGCACCAGCATTGGGGTTCTGTGTGGGAAGTTTGGCCCAATTCTATCATTGGTGGGGTTCAGAATACTCTTTGATTGTAGGAGAACTATAAATCCCAGCAACTACAACTCCCAAATGTGAAGCTTTATTTTCCCCAAACTCCACCAATGTTCACATTTGGGCATATTGAGAATTGGTGCCAAGTTTGGACCAGATCTATCATTGTTTGAGTCCGCAGTGCTCTATGGATGTAGGTGAACTACAACTCCAAAACTCAAGATCAATGCCCACCAAACCCTTCCAGTGTTTTCTGTTGGTCATGGGAGTTCTGTGTGCCAAGTTTGGTTCATTTTCATCATTGTTGGAGTTCAGAATACGCTTTGTCGGCGAACTATACATCCCAGCAACTACAACTCCCAAATGTCAAGGTCTACTTCCCGCAGACTCCACCAGGGTTCACATTTGGGCATATTGAATATTTGGGCATATAGAATATTTTTAAACCGCTTTGAGTCCCATTCGTGGGACAAAAGTAAATAATAATGATGATGATGAACTATAAATCCCAGCAACTACAACTCCCAAATGTCAAGATCTATTTCCCCCCAAACTCCACCAATGTTCACATTTTGGCATATTGAGCATTGGTGCCAAGTTTGGTCCAAATCTATCATTGTTTGAATCCGCACGGCTGTATGGATGTAGGTGAACTACAACTCCAAAACTCAAGATCAATGCCCACCAAACTCTTCCAGTGTTTTCTGTTGGTCATGGGAGTTCTGTGTGCTGAGTTTGGTTCATTTCCATCTTTGGTGGAGTTCGGAATACTCTTTGATTGTAGGTGAACTATACATCCCTGCAACTACAACTTGCAAATGTCACGATCTATTTTCCCCAAACTCCACCAATGTTCACAATGGTCCAAATCTATCATTGTTTGAATCCACACGGCTGTATAGATGTAGATGAACTACAACTCCAAAACTCAAGATCAATGCCCACCAAACCCTTCCAGTGTTTTCTGTTGGTCATGGGAGTTCTGTGTGCTGAGTTTGGTTCATTTCCATCTTTGGTGGAGTTCAGAATGCCCTTTGATTGTAGGTGAACTATACATCCCAGCAATTACACCTCCCAAATGTCACGATCTATTTTTCCCAAACTCCACCAATGTTCACAATGGTCCAAATCTATCATTGTTTGAGTCTGCACTGCTGTATAGATGTAGGTGAACTACAACTCCAAAACTCAAGATCAATGCCCACCAAACCCTTCCAGTGTTTCCTGTTGGTCTTCGTGACCTCATGGACCAGTCCACGCCAGAGCTCCCTGTCGGCCGTCACCACCCCCAGCTCCTTCAGAGTCAAGCCAGTCACTTCAAGTCTTTGATTGTAGATGAACTATACATCCCAAAATGTTATGGTCTATTTTCCTCAAACTACAGTGTTCACATATTGAATATTTGTGCCAAGTTTGGTCCAGTGAATGAAAATACATCCTGCATATCAGATATTTGCATTATGATTCATAACAGTAGCCAAATGACAGTTATGAAGTAGGAACGAAAATAATTTTATGGTTGGGGAGTCACCACAACATGAGGAACTGGACTAAGGCATTAGGAAGGCTGAGAAGCACCAAAAGGGTCAGAAGCCACATGAAGGCACACTCTCTCGTCTACAAAAGTGAACTTATACGAGGCTTTTTCCTGGCCAGCCTGAATGGGAGTTGTCTAAAGTCAAGCAGTGGCCTTCTGGAGTCTGAGTCCAATTCTCAAGCATCCCACTTGCATGGCGCCTGTGGTGGGGCCTAAGGCCGGAGCCCACCTCGACCTTCCCGCCTCAGGCCCTTTCCTTTCCGCTTAAGCGGCTGAGGGGGGAAAAGGAAAGGGCCTGAGGCGGGAAGGTCGAGGTGGGCTCCGGCCTTAGGCCCCAACGGACACAGAAAACAGCCTGGGTCCCCCTCCCTCGGTGCCTCACCATGTCGTAGACGTTGAGCACCACCAGTTGGCTCGCCATCCTCCTCCTCCTCCTCCTCCTCCTCTTCTGGCCTGGGCTCCCTCAGTGGCGCTGAGGGGCCGGCTCGCCCTCTCTGCGAGGGAAGGAGGCGGGGCTTAGCTCTGACCACGCCCCCTCTCCGCCGCCAGGCCCCTCCCTCCCTGCCTGCCTGGGAAAACCGTTCCAAAGAGAAACCCTCTTCTACTACAAGCCCCGGCATGCAGCGCGCGCGGCCTCAGTGGCACCTCTGTATCAATATCCCGCTTTCTCCTTTCTCCAACCTCTGAGGATGCTATGGTCCAAAAGCATTCTCTCCTGAATTGCCAGCTAACACCTCCCAACAAAGGATTTTAATAATAATAATAATAATTTTCCCCCAAGCAGGAACCAGCCAGGCTTTGAAGCTGCAAGGCCATTCAGTGCTAATCAAGGTGGCCAATTGCAGCATTCACACTTGCCTCCAACAGACCAAAGTTCTTTCCCCCACCCATGGACATTCCACAGATATATAAACCTCCCTTGTCTAGTTTCCAACAGACTACACAACATCTGAGGATGCTTAACGTAGGCCATGGTCCAGAAACATTCTCTCCTGAAGAGCCAGCTAACCCCTCCCAAAAAAGGATTTCCCCCAAGGAGGAACCAGCCAGGCTTTGAAGCTGCAATCAATGCTAATCAAGATGGCCAATTGCAGCACTCATACTTGCCTCCAACAGACAAGAGTTCTTTCTCCCACCCTTGGACATTCTACAGATATATAAATCCCATTTTCCTAGTTTCCAACAGACCTCACAACCTCTGAGGCTCCCTAACATAGGCCAGGGTCCAGAAACATTCTCTCCTGAATAGCTGGCTAACACTTCCCAACAAAGGGTTTCCCCCAAGCGGGAAGCAGCCAGGCTTTGAAGCTGCAAAGCTATTCAATGCTAATCAAGGTGGCCAATTGCAACATTCACACCTGCCTCAAGCAGACAAGATTTCTTTCCCCCAGCCCTGGACATTCTATAGATATACTATATAAACCTCACTTGCCTAGTTTCCAACAGACCTCACAGACTCTGAGGATGCCTGTCATAGATGCAAGTGAAACGTCAGGAGAGAATGCTTCTAGAACATGGCCATATAACCCAAAAAAAACTACAACAACCGAATCCCGGATCACCTGGACTTGACATACTCCCCATGTCTAAAGTGTACAATTTTCTACATTGTGGAAGTGAATGCCCTTGGATGACCTCTTCCAACTACTCAGTTGCATCCCATCTCACTGTCAGTCATGTCAATCCAATCCTTGAACTATTCTAGTTTGAAGATGTTTTTATGTTATTACTAGCTTGGGTTGTGGGTTAACTACAACTCACATCATGCCAGGTTAACCCCCTGAAACTCCATCAGTAGTTAAAAGTTTGTTATATTGGACAAGTTGGCTCAGTGTAGCTGGATAACTGATGGGATAGTTTTGGCATATCAGATCTGTGGACCAAGTTTGGTCCAGATCCATTGGTGTTTGGGTTCACAGTGCTCTCTGGGTGTAGGTAAACTATAACTTCCCCACATCACGGTGAATTTTCCACAAAGATTTTTAGTATTTTTTGCTGGTCATTGGGGCTCTGTGTGCCAAGTTAGTTCCAGGTCCATCATTGGTGGGGTTCAGAGTCTCCTTGATTGCAGGTGAACTATAAATCCCAGTACCTACAACTCCAAGGCCCATCTAGTCCAATTCCTTTCTTCCAGGCAGAAGGGCACCATCAAAGCTGTGAATAGCTTAACTCAAATATTAATGCTAATACAGTGGGACAGACACTGGCAAAGAGGTCAGCTCTGCAAGATTAATAATAATATGGAGCCATGGCAGTTAAAGTGGTGTCAAACTGCATTCATTCTACAGCGCGGAGTCCCTACGTGCACGATGAGAGCCCACCGGGTGTTTTCCAGCAAGCCCCACTCTCTCAGCCTCAGATGAAGTCCCCCTATAAAGAAATCTTGTGGGGAAAAGGTTGGAGGCATAACCTACAAGACATGCCAGGTCAGGGGAACCAAGGAGCCCAGCTTTCCATTCAGCCAGGGGTCTACAGGAAGCAGTCATGACCATTTAGAGCAGAAAAAGGATGAGGAGGGGACTCTGGGATACAAAAGATGGCAACTGTGCCTAAATGGCACTTCTTTGAGGAAGCCTTGGCAAGCAAGTCCTGTAATAGGAGGTTGGCCGTAAGTCAGGCATGAAGGCACACAACAGGAAGAGCAAAATGCCTTGCTCAAAGTAATGTCACCAAGCTTCTGGCAAAGAAGAGCAGTCATTAAATACAAGTGTTAATTTGACCTCACAAACATTAGCATTACTTAGTGTGGATGTTGCAAATTCCCTCAAATTAAAATGATTATGGATGATGACAGTTTACACTTCATGGATGAGCCACATTTTCTGTTCAGCCGGGGGGCTTCAGGAAATCCAGGCAGCAGGATGTGAAAAGGCAGCCCACTTGGAGCAAATCAGGATGGGAAGGTGACTCCAGTTCAGAAGATGTGCCTCAGTCGTACTGCTCTGAACAAACCTTGCCAAGAAAAAAACCATGATAGGTTCACCGTTGGAAGGCACAAAACAACAATTGAAGTTGAAGGCTTTTAATGGCAGGAATCACTGTTTGAGTTTTCTAGGCTGTATGGCCATGTTCCAGAAGCATTAACTCCTGACATTTCGCTTGCATCTATGACATGCATCCTTAGAGGTTTTCAGGTCTGTTGGAAACTAGGCAAGTTTGGAATGTCCAGGGTGGGAGAAAGAACTTTTGTCTGGTTGAGGCAAGTATGAATGCTGCAATTGGCCATCTTGATTAGTATTGAATGGTCATGCAGCTTCAAAGCCTGGCTGTGTCCTGCCTGTGGGAATCTTTTGTTTATTTGTCGTGTCAGAGCAGCCAGTCCATTATATTACATTTCTAACAGAACAAAGCAAACAAACTGAAAAATACAAAACTTGTGAGTTTGGTAGTTGGTTAAATGTCCTTTGACCAGTATCTGGCCACTTGTAGTGCTTCCGGTGTTGCTGCAAGAAAGTCCTCCATTGTGCATGTGGCTGGGCTCAGGTTGCACTACAGCAGGTGGTGAGTGGTTTGCTCTTCTCCACACTCACATGTCGAGGATTCCACTTTGTAGCCCCATTTCTGAAGGTTGGCTCTGCATCTCGTGGTGCCAGAGCGCAGTCTGTTCAGGAATCCTTTGTTGAGATGTATTAGCTGGTCCTGAATAATTTTTGTCTGGAATTCCCATTTTTTTAGTGTTGGTCTTTATTTACTTTAAGGATCCTTCCACAGATGTGGGTGAAACATTAGGATAGAATGCTTCTGGAACATGGCATACAAACTCACAGCAATCCAACAATGGAAGTCTTCATCTTCAGTTTCAGGTTGCCGATTCTTGTAAAGGAAAATTAAACAAACAAACAAAACGTGTATTTGTGCAGAAACAGCACACAGGGCAGTGCTGTTTCCAAAGGCATACAGGCTCATTGACTGTGCCCTCCAGTGCCTGAGGATCTGGACAAAAAATGCTAACATAATACAACAAATACAAAGTAAGGGACTGGAAATAACTCAGGAAAGTAGGTGCCCAGTCTCCAAATCAAGTCAAATATATAGGCCATATATCTCATACTACGTGAAAGGAATATCTTTTTGGAGTGATGTAAATACAAAACTCCCTAGTTTTAGACATGCTACACTTCAACTTGACCAAATGAGGGAGCGTTTCATGAAGTCTCAAGTCCTTATAGAAGTCCAAGCCTTTAAAGGGATAGTTAGGGTGCAACTACGTTGTAGAAATAGTGCAATGTGAACAGCACTTTGACTTCCTTGGCTGAATGCTGTGGCATTGTGGGAGCTGTTATTTTACAAGGTCTTTAGCTTTCTGTGCCAAAGAGTGCAGGTATCTCATCAAACTACAACTTCCAGGACACCATGGTAATGAGGCACAACAGTTAAAGTGCTACTGCATTCATTCTACAGAGTAGACGCGCCCTAAGGCATTTAAATGAAGGTATTTAAACTCAATTTTGATTTAAATGGCAGAAAATGAAAATCATTTAGATGATGTATTGTCGAAGGCTTTCATGGCCGGAATCACTGGGTTGCTGTTGGTTTTTTCGGGCTATATGGCCACGTATAACCATGACCATGCTTCTAGAACATGGCCACATAAGCCTGAAAAAAACCTACAACAATCCATTTAGATGATAGTTGTACAAAAAAATCGCCTTCAGGTGAGCCACCCCAATCTTCCCTAAATTATATGTGTGTGTTTGAGATGACATGATCAGTAACACGTGACCAGGCATATCAAGAGCCCAGATGTTTTGATGTTTTACCATCCTTGTGGGAGGCTTCTCTCATGTGTCTGCATGGGGAGCTGGAACTGACAGAGGGAGCTCAACCATGCTCTTCCCAGATTCGAACCTGTGACCTGTCGGTCTTCAGTCCTGCTGCCACAAGGGTTTAACCCACTGTGCCACCGGAGGCTCCATAACTGTAGTGTGATATGAAATGAATACTACTGCAATTTATTACATACACTCATAAATGAAGGAAATGCTAGATTTCAGCTAGCGGTCAGAGAAAATAAAGATAATAAATTGACTTTATCCAGGTCAAGCTCACAGACTCCCTGAAATCTCTCAGTGAACCCCTGATCTGCACTGTAGAAATAATGTAACTTGATGCAGCTTAATGTTATGGAATCATGAAAATGTAGTTTTGCAATGCTTTTAACCTTCTTTATCATCATCAAACTACAAATCCCAGGATTCCATTGCACTGAGCCATGGCAGTTAAAAAGGTGTCAAACTATATTATTTCTGTGTATTGTCAAAGGCTTTCATGGCCGGAATCACTGGGTTGTTGTAGGGGGTTTTTTTTGGGCTGTATGGCCATGGTCTAGAGGCATTCTCTCCTGACGTTTCGCCTGCACAATATTATTTCTGCAGTGTAGATAGCCTGTAGGGAAGGGCTAGATTCATGTTTGTGTTGTGGCAAAAACCAGACGTTTGTGGCTTTTCACAGACCAACAGCTTTTCTTTATCATCAATTTTGTGGACTCTAACTGATTTCTTCAGACTGCATGGAGTATAGACTCA